GGGATCTCACTCTGGGTCAGGCTGGTCTCAAACCTCTGAACTCAGGGCAATCCACCCACCTCAGCCTCCCAGAGTGCTAGGATTATAGGCGTGAGCCACCACGCCTGCCTGTTCTCTGTACTTTTGATTGTATACCTCAATTAGTACAATTATTTTTGTTTTGAGATGGAGTCTTGCTTTGTCATTAGGCTAGACTGCCTCAGTGTCATCACAGCCTCAAACTCCTAGGCTCAAGGGATCCTCCTGCCTTAGCCTCCAAGTAACTGGGACTGTAGGTGCCTGCCACAGCACCTGGCTAATTTTTCTATTTTTTGTAGAGTCTCACTTTTGTAGATAGTAAAATTAGTTTTGAAAATATCCATATGGGTATTTTTATTTACAAACTATATCTCTAATCCTGTATGTATATTTTGTACATAAATTAAAACATGAAAAGAGAAAAGTAAACAGTGTTTCAAACTTTTGTTTAACAGAAAAAGACTACTTTCTCTAAAATGTTGTTAATGTTATTTTTAATAATAAAAACTTTGGTGAGGCCTGGATCAGGGGCTCACACCTATAATCCTAGTCCTCTGAGAGGCTAAGGCAAGAGGATCGGGACCAGCCTGAGCAAGAGAGAGACCCCATCTCTACAGAATAAAAAAATTAGCCAGGTATGGTGGCAGGTGCCACTATAGTCTCAGCTACTCAGGAGGCTGAGGCAAGAAAATTGTTTGAGCCTGGGAGTTGGAGGTTGCAGGGAGCTATGACAAGGCCACTGCGCTCCAGCCAGGTGAACTTTGGGATCACATTGCATGATTAATTTTCAAAATACTGGTTTTATATTTTGTGATATAATGGTTTAAACATCTAGTTCAATGAGAGCTGGAAAAGATACCTACTGCAGCACATAGGTGATACCATGCTCTAGATGGAAGAATTGTATTCACTATGGTAATGAAATCATTATCCTCATTTTCTAATCCTGTCCACTAAGGTTTATAGTGAAATTCAGCTGATAAATGTACATCACTCATGTCAATTTGTTGTCCTTACAAACCTATTAGAAAGTGAAATTTTTTTCTTGTTTTTTTTTTTTTTCTTGAGACAGTCTCATTATGTTGCCCTGGGTAGAGTACCATGGTATCACAGCTCATAGCAAGCTCCAACTCTTGGGCTTAAGCGATTCTCTTGCCTCAGCCTCCCAGTAGCTGGGACTACAGGTGCCTCCCACAACACCTGGCTGTTATTGTTATTGTTGTTTAGCAGGCCCAGGCCAGGTTGAACCCACCAGCCCTGGTGCATGTGCCCAGTGCCCTAACCACTGAGCATGGGAGCTGAGCCTAGAAAGTGCAGTTTTTAATAATTTTTAATAAATGTTTTCAACCTACTGAAATTATTTATTTAAATATTTTTAAATCTTTAGGATATTTAGAGTTTAGAATATTTTAGAATTTTAGAATATTTTGAAACCTCAGTAAACCTCTGAAGGGTATAAAAGATTTTCATAATCGTTCCCATTGCACTTTGTATGTTTTATAAAATATTGTTGGGATCTTCTTCACTAGAACCCTTGAAGCCACTTAACTGGTCTAGATAACCCCAGGCTTCTGGGGAGGACTGAAGGCCCCCCTGCCACCTTCTTGACTATGATGTTCTTCTTCTTTCCTTATGCCATGTGTCACACAGGAAACCAGACTCCTCGTGTACACACTGGGGAGGGCATCAGGGTTATAGGTAAATTAAAATGATAAATTATAAACAGTATGAGCAAGATAAATAAAAACAAGTTTTCTTTATTTTCTTCCCCCCGCAGCTAGTCTCATGCCTGCCCCAGATCCACTGCAGCGCTCTGAGTTAGAGGTGGTAAAACCCCCAGTGTCCATCAGGTCCTAGACGGGTAATTTTAAATGGAGAAAGGCTGTATAGGAGACACTGGGGAGGGAGGGAGGGAGTTGTGGGGGATGCAGAGTATTTAAAAGAGCCGCCACTTAGCCTCTAGTAGTAGCTGCAATGTGATGATAAGGGCCCGAGGATGCCAGAGCTCCTAGGCTGGTTTGGATTTTACATGAAATCTCCCTATGGTCCATTCTTAATTGACCAATAATTTAATTTGACTAATCTTTAGGAATACCAACACCATGACTAGGCGCCTGTAGCACAGTGGTTATGGTATCAGCCACATACACCAAGGCTGGTGGGTTCGAACCCAGCCCAGGCCAGGTAAACAACAATGACAACTTCAACAAAAAATAGCCGGGAGTTGTAGCAGTTGCCTGTAGTCCCAGCTACTTGGGAGGCTGAGGCAAGAGAATCACTTAAGCCCAAGAGTTTGAGGTTGCTGTGAGCTGTGACACCACAGCACT